TTACACCATTACTATCTTGAATTATTCGAGGAGAACGAATTCGAGTGGAAAAAATTTTCGAATTTTCGTTAAACGAAATTATACGCAGAAAATTACATTGTACATCGTGCAAAATTTGCAAAGTTTCGACACGGAAAATCCTCTCGTAACACCCGCATAACGATCGTTTTTTTCGAAGTGTATGCAGTTTTATTTAAATATCGATCGAGTTACGGGCAAACAAGCAAGCCCGTATTCCATCTTTTCGAGCACCCTTCTTTAAATCCTGTATAAATTGTGCTTCGAGGAACGATTTGAATCTGCGTCGATTTTTCTTCGTCGGCGACACGCCACGTTATTGTTATTATTCTTTTTCCTCTCTCTTTCTTTTTTTTTTCCTTTTTTCTTTTTTTTTTTCTTTTTTTCTTGACGCTGGAAAAAACCTTTTAAGTATAAGTTCCAGGCGAAGGCCACGATAACCAATGATCTCACTTGGCGAATTATCGTCTGCAGCATTGCGATTTTATTCTAGGATTATATATAGTTAAACGAGACCCGTTAACGTTTACATATATATTTTTGTTGCGTGGATGAAAATATACGTGAATTATAATTATCGTCGAGTCAACTTAAATGCAGAAATTACGAGGAATAATCATTGGCAGGCTGTAGATTTTTATGCATATTTCTCGTACGTGCATACGTTTTATTTCATACTTTACGTATGTAATTGGAATGTAATTGAATATTGTAAACAAAATTTTAAAATCATATTCAATATTTGAAAATTCTGAATAGTTTTTTGAATTGAATAATAATAAATTATGAGAAATTTCGAGTACACAGGATATATTTTGTTACATATTTGAATATCTTATTTCAATTGCATAAAAATCCGCAGTCTAATTATTGGATAAACGTTCAGACAAATCTTATCCAATGAACCATACTCGTTTACTGTACAAGTGTACACTAAAGTGGATCTTTTTCTGCTTAAATTATTCGTGTATAAAAACTTGAAAATATTACAGTCGAATTATAATTTTCTTCATTCATTTTCTTTCATTCCATATCGAAAAATCGAAATCTAAATTTTCTATAACTTGAATTATTTGTCGAGACGCATTTTAGCCCTACAATACGAAATAACTATATAATATAATCATAATTAAAATTTCAACTGTTATAATTGTTTCTTGCACGATGCGTCTATATATCAAATTTTCGTTTCTTGAATTTCTTTTATTCAAAAATCGAACCACGAATTCACGTGAAATTCGAAAATTTTAATCTTTCGAGATTCGAAATTAAAATTCGACCGTACACTCGTAATATTAATAATTTTTAAACGTCGATTAAAATTTTACACGCAAACGCAGAAATTTATATATATTACATATATAAAAAAATAGATGAGAAATTAAAATCTCAATAATGAAAATTAGACGAAAATGTTATATTATTTATTATATATTTATTTTACGAAATAATTTTTCGAACGAAATTATCTCGACCAGTTCGTTGTCATTGATAAACGAAATGACATTCACTTCATGAATCTCATCTGTCGACCATCGTCGCGTTACAACGTTACTTTTTTTTTTTTTTTTTTTAAACAATTTCATGGGACTCATCTGTGCAACATGTGATCCCAGTTTTTTTCAATAGTAAAAAAACTTCAATCGCTTTATAATCTTTGGCTTACGTTACGCTTAGCTATGTACACGTTATTTACACCTTAAAATTACAGGTATATGTATATATGTATAATATATATATATATATATATTTATTTATTTATTTCTTCTATCTCGCTATTTTCTTACTAAATACCGCGCACTTATTCTCCCATTCAAGAACGTTTAGTTTTTCCCTTCGATTTTGGACAATTATCATTTTTTGATCGCCTCGTGTTAATGATAATCAGACCGCGGATTCTTACGCAAAATCAAATCATTCTTATAAACGTAATCAGAAGAAACGGATTACTCAACGAATATTACTCTTTTATTCCACCTCTAACCTCATATTTTAAACATTTTCCAGATTTTTACACGTTCAAATTTTACGCAAATATATCCGCATAAATATCCGCGGTCTAACGATAACTAAACAACTACGATTTTAACAACTGTTAAAATATGAGAGTAACAATAGCCGACTATCGATGGAATAATATACTATTGTCGAGGTGAGACGTTTAATATCGATGGGTTGCGTGAACGAGACCTACAGATCGGATACAGCTGCTTCGACACACTAATGCGTTTAATAATACGGTGTAAATAAATAACCGATTCTATCATAGAAAATTGTGTGCGTTCTTCCCTATTTGTTTTAGTGCAAAGTAAAATTTCTTACATAGTCTCGTTCGTTCCTCTCTAGGAGGCTCTCTAATCGTGTGGCTGTAAAGGGCATTGCAGCGACATCTGGGATCGACTATGCGAATATCCCATTCGTTTCTAACGTACGTTCGGCGTTCACTGGACGATTTTTCAATCAGGTAGCAAATACGTTTAACTTGTCTTCCGACAACTACGTGTTTACGAGCTCGGTTCTTCGATCAATCAGCAACTGAAACTACATCTTAACAATCATTGATTTCAATCGTTGGTCAAAAGTTGAGTTTTGAAATTTCAATCGATCAATTTTAAGGTTAAGAATGATGTGATCTCGTGTAGTAGAGAGTTACCGATTGAGTAGGAACCGTGCTAGCTTATCGACGATTCAAAAAACGTCTTTTCACACTAACAACGCTTTCTAATGGCAGTATTTACGGAACCCAATACTTCTCACCCTACGAATTTATTTACAATCCAACGTGACGTAAGGCATCGTACCTTGGATGCGTTAAAATTATCATTCCCAGCTATGAATTACGTCTAACGATAAGAGACGTCGGAGAATTGGAGATTCATCGTGGAGATTCGATCAGATTTTTCTTCATTCTTTTTTCTTTTCTCGTCGTTCGAAAGAATTAATCGTGACTCGACGATCGTGTTATTAATTTTGCCGAGGGATCGCAGATTCTCCGACATTGAGTTTATATTTCTCGCGAATATCAGTCCGCTCGCACGAGGCGTAACTAACAATCGTTTTAACCGCGATAGTACATGTGTATAAATAGCGCGTGATTATATTAAAGTAAGAGGAAAAAAAGAAAAAAAAAGGAGTAAGAAACGAAGGAATAATGAAAAGGAAAAAAAAAGAAAAAAAAAAGAAAAGGAAAACGAGAGAAAAGAATATAAGACAACTCACAGTGACATCAACCACGTACTACAGCATTGAACAACAACGTCAACGGTTGTTCAATCAGCTACTATCTATCAGCTTTAGAATTCGTATGCTTTACTTGTTCTTACAGAACTATCGGTTATTATTATCGTAATGTTTCGCGGGTTTCGACTCTTGTTACAAAATACAATATTTTTACAGAGGCGAAGTATAACACGTGTGCAACGAAATGTCCCTCGAGATCATCGAATTTGTCAAATGGTCAATATAAATTGTTAATTGGTATTATTATATGAGATAGACGTTTAACAGTACCATTTCGATTATTTTCATTATTAATAGATCGGTCGAAAAATTTTAATTCTCTTATTTTATTATTTTATATATATTACGTTGATCCAAAAAATTGAAATAGAAAAAAAAAAAAGAAGAATGTATTATTAATAAATATATTATAGAAATATTATATCATTATATAATTATATCAAAATTAATATTTAAATTTTATAAAGAAAAGGTTATTAATTATTTTAATATAAATTTTATAGTTTCTTATAATCTCAATTTAATTTCAAATTATTTAAATAAATTGCACATATTTATAAAATATAATTTTTTTTATAATCAACGTTGTTATCTTTTTATAAATAAATTTTCAAATTCAATATTTTTATACATATTTTGAAGCTTGATAAATATTGTCTCGATCATAAAAAAATTATAAATTTGAAAGAAATTGAAGATAATTTTAAAATTTAAAATCAAAATTTACTTCGAAAGAGACATAAAAAAAAATCAAATGTTATTATCCGAAAGATTCTTTAATACAGTTTATGACTAAAAAAAATTTTAATTGTTCTATTAATAATGAAAATAATAGAAAAAAAAATCATTATATTAATTAATTACATTGAAAAAAATCAAATCTTTGATATTCAAAGATATTTTTCTCTATATTTTTTATTCATTTTATATTAAATTATGTAAATATAGCACTATACTATTCTACGAGATATCAAAATAAGCATATTTAATAAAAATATTTTTTGTTTCATTATTGCACGCTTTCAGCAATATCTATAAATATATCATATTTTTTATAAATACTCTTTTGCAACTTAAGATAATTAACATTTTCTTTTCCACAAGAATTTTAAAAGAAAAAATCTTCCTATTTTTAATCATACATTACCTAGACAAAAAAGTATAATAATAATAACTTACCGAAACGTATTCTTCTTCTCAACTCTCGTTCTCAAAAAATGTTTTTATCATTCATCTGCATTAAAATTACTTAAAATCGATTTAAGTAATTTTGACAAAATTTAGATTCTCGAATTAATTTCGAACAACTTTTTGAAACCACTCCAAGAATCGTCAACTCAACTTTCGAAACACTCTTTGTATATATCAAAACGTCACTACGAACATTAATCCCAAGCGACATTTGGATGCACATACATTCAAATCATTGCTCTTCCCTCCTCCTCCTCCTCCTCCTCCTCCTTCTTATAGATATACATTCGTACAAATGGGTACGTTTTCCTAAATGTTTTAAAACTATAATCGATTATACGATAAGTTACACGCTAAGTTCGTGTCGTACAACGAGCTACCTACGATCGTGATACCTAGAATAATTTCTCTTAATATGTCGGGTAAACAGGATATATAAAACACGCGGCCGCACGACAGTTTATTCGTGAAAGTTTTTAACTCCTAGTCCGGGACCAATCACTTCGATCCTCTTCCCGTCTCTCTTTCTCTTCTCTTCCTCCTCCTCCTCCCCCCCCCGTCACGTATCATTCTCTCAGACATCCCGGTAAGTTTATTAAACCGCCAAGGGCTTAGCTAAGTTATTATTACAGTTAATTAGCTTGTTGTTTTTTTTAATTTAATCCGATTTTTAAGTAGTGGCAGCTTCATTTTACGATTTACTTGAGCATACTATGTAGATATACGTTTTTTGTTTCATAATTGTTCGCGATGTATCGACGCGTCGATGATTACTTCACAATTTCGACACTTTGAACGAAGCTAGGAATGGATCCAAGGTCTCGAAACGGGCGACAGATGTCGCAGCAGCTCGTTCGTTCGTTTATATCGGTGATGCACAGTCGAGCTTGGGAAAATTTCGAGGAATATATTTCTTTTTTTTGAAAACAATTCTGATAAATACTCTTTCGTAGAACGTCGATTATTATTGGAAAGTCGCGAAATTGAACAATTTTTTAGATATTAAGCGATATATAATAAAGAAACAAACATCTGGATGAGGAAAAATGCATCAAAATTAATCAATTGCATTTTTAATATTGTCCCAGAGTGGAATGTTGAAAACATTAACATAATTTACACCATATACCACGTTACAAATTTACTTAATTCGATCTGGTTCTGATTTTAATGAAGTTTTATATGCATAATAAATTTTCAACATCTTTTCATTTCGTTTCCAAACGGAATTTTTCCTTTTATAATTCATTTTGTAATAGGATAACCGAGCATAACCTTACTTTCCAAATATAATTTTGTAATGATGTGAGATGCAGCAAAATAATTTTTATACAAAAAACGTGTTTTCAACGCTCTTTCATTCAAAAAAAAAAATTCTCAGGCAACATTGAATTCGAAACAAACGAAAAACTATTTTACTTATATACCCGTTCATACAAATTTTCATTAAAATCAGAATATCATTCTTGCAACACGGTTCGAACAATTATTCAAGCAATCGACGTTCCATTGTATTGCTCGTTTGCCAAATTTCGCGTCCAAACGAGAATGCAAAGATTTTCCTCGAACCCTGCTCGTTCCATTTCTTTTCAACATTCGCTTCGCGGGAATGGAGCCCTTTTACCGTAATTTCGTCATTGGACAACGATGGAAGTTGAAAGTTGCTAAGACTAGGGCGGGTTTTCCGGGCTGATAGCAAATTACCGGATCCGGATGTTGGTCCTTAGTCTTTCTCTACGGTGCAGGGCTCGGGCATGGACTATTGTGGCGGACAGTTAACCACCGCCGTGGTCGCGAATTCGCTGAATTTTTTATCAATTGGTACCCGGTCGTCGTAGAGGGTCGGCGCCTGTAGGATGATCCCAGCTGTGCCTACCAGCACCGCCAACGTGAAGATCCAAAGGAACAGCCTGTCTAAGACCATCGCCACGTATTTCCAGTCTTCTTTCACCTTTTTTTTTTTGCAAATTGTGCGTATTAGATTCTACAGCTGCTATAATATTCGGGAGGGGGAAACGAATCTTTTATCGATAAATTTGATGATTTACGCTTTCTATTTGTAGAGAGGATTGATCGATGCTTAGTGCAAGAAGAAGAGAAAATTAGGGATGCGAAATTATGAGAGTTTCTTTCTCGAAAAGTAAAGAATATTAATATCATTTGTTTGTTTACGAAAATTTTACAATGTGGAACAAAAAAATAAAAAAATGTCTCGTATTATTATTCGATTTTTTTCTCATAAAGAAATTCGCAGATTTTTTAAACTTTTCAATACATCCTCGAACTTCGAGCAAATTGAAACTCGAACAAAAACTCGGACCGCGAAACTGGAACAAAAAAACTTAAAACTCGAATAAAAGAGTTTAATGACAATGCAATGGAACGTTTTGGAAAAATTTGGAAAAATAGAAAAGACAAATAACATTGCTAGATATCAAAGAAAAATTCAATACACATAATCCTCAAATGTATTAAATTTCTCAAACTGTAGATAAAAACTATAAACCGATTGTTAATAATTAATACGATCTTTCAGAAAATTAAGCTCTTAAAATATTACACGTAATTAATTATTTCAAACTCTAATTCGAAATTCGAGAATCTATTTATGTTCGTGCCACGTCTACTCCTACTTTCTCCTCCAACTTTCCTTTTTTCTTGAATAAAATTTCTTTAGTCGTAATCGTTGTCACCAAGTTCCGTTTCGTTCATTTCGAAACTTCGATTCAATTGTTGCAATTATCCTCATCCTCGACATCTATCTTGGATTTGGTAAAGTTTTTGATAAGTAAACGGTTCGATTGAAATTACCTTTGTCGAGTCTTCCAGCATTTTCGTGTGTTCCGCGATGAAGCGCACACAGATGCAGGATTTGTGGATTTCGGGTGGGCAGCGCGAATGCGAGAAAGCAGGAGGGCTTCGAAGGACAGGACTTTTAACCTCCTCGATCCCTGCCTCGCCGGAAACAGAGAGGTCTTCGCATTCCGTGTGAAGAGGAAGCGGTGGCAATGGCGGACCGTGGATTAAGCAACTTCCGCCGAACCTTGCGCCATCAGCGAGACTAAATTGCAAACAAGATAATGGTGGTGGGTAAGGATAACAATAGTTTTGGACAGATACTTTTTTTTTTTAGTGCAACAAACAAATTGCATGCCTGTATCTTCCTCTTGTACGTTAAAATTTTTTTTTTTTAAGGAATTTGCATTGTATTTATTAATTAAATAAATGTTTCGATATAAATGATGATTTTCTGGCCTTTGGTCGAATTGCAATAATTTTTTTACGGTATATCTATTGTTTGTCGTTGAATCAATAAAGCAATTAGAATTTTTGTAAAATTATTCAATATATCTTTATAATTATTGTATTATTCTTTTTTTTTAAATATTTAATAATTATAATCACGAGGAAACACGAGTGTTCTGAAAATGTGTCTGTAAACTCTTTCACTCTTGAAGCGTTTACTAATTAATTCGGGATATTGAAGTTTCCACTTATATATTCCAATTATATGTTATAATTATAAATTAAATTATAATTAATGATTAAGAATTAAAAATAGATTAAGATGGAAAAATAATTTTTTCAAAAAATTCCAATTTAATATTTAAGAGGGTAAGGATATTTGTAGATATTCTTATTTTCCAATGAGAGTATCATTAAAATTTTAATGATCATATATTGTAACAAGAAGTTTAACATATCTGGACTTATTATAATAATTAATATATAAATATAGATTTTCTTTCTCTCATGTTTATTTTATAAATTTTCATATATATATATATATGAAAATACTATTAATTAAAAGTGATAATATATTTGGATCTAATTAATATATGTAATAAATACAATTGATGATCAAATACTTTCTGTAGCCATTTTGTATATTTTTTTTATTATTGTATTAATGGATTTATTAACTGATAGATTTGTTATGCTAGATATAGATAAAAATTATTTATGGATCTTGGAACTTTTAGAATCTATCTTGTAAGGAGAAACCTTATCGTATCTAAAAGTTGCTGGTAGTGTAATTTTGGAGGATAACACAAGTTTCGTTCCACGTCATGATTCATTAGATTTTCAGTCTGTATGTACTTGATTATATTCATTACAAACTCAATTTATGCCTTATGCAAGTTACAGAAGTTTCTTTATGGTACTCCAACTTTATGGTGCTGTTTGAACTGGACTTTGAAGTAAAATCGTGTAATCTTGTTAGTTAAACCTCATAATACTATATCTCTTTAATACAATAGATCATCCTAAATTAAATTAAATTCCTTTAATTATCTTTTAAAAGTGATTCATATTGAAAGAATGATGATGATTGTTGTTGCAAATTCTTAATTAGTAGATCAATTTGAACGTCATATTGAAACAGAATAAAAATTCGAAATAAAAGAAATGAAATGAAAGTTATATGTAGAAAATATATATGTATATTGCAATTTATTTCATCAAATAGAGAAAAAGGAAAAAAAAATTTTGAAAAATTCACAATATCAATGAATAGGAAGAAAAAAAGCAGTTATATTGTTGGCAATGATGAAATTTTTAATTAATTTTGGAAAATAAAAATTATTGATGAATAAAAAAAATCATTCACAAATTGCAATATTACAAATACATGATTATATTATACAAATAATTTGTAAAACTAATAATTAATGCGAATATCAATGTATTACTACATTAACATGTGCTAAAATTACATTTAAACAGAAAATTATTAATTTATTATTATTAGAAGTAGTTATTTTGTTAGTAATATATGCCTTTTTACAAATATTCGTAATAGTTTATCATAGTAACATGTTTTATAATTATTTATTTACAGCATTAAAATTGAATACAGTACAGAAAAATATCATATCATTGCTTGGTAGAGTGCAATTTAAAAAATTTTAAATGTGCTTTTATTCAATATAAGATTTATATTATGTTTCTATTTTCAATAATTCAATAATTAATAATAATTAGTAATTGTATATAGTATTTTCAAAAAGTAAATTTTAAGAAACCTCTGTTTTAAATCAAGGAATAAATATATAATATTTGAAATATTGTATGATTTCATACAAGATGATGGAAAGATTACATATCATTATACATTTACTTCAAGAGGAAAATAACTTAATATGAATAATTTATAATTTAATAGTAGTTTATTAATAATAATTTAGTAATAAAATTTTTTGTAGCTAAAAAAAGAACTTTAATCGAACAATTATCTGAACGTTTCTTCGATCATATGAATATTTGAAAGGAAATAAAGACATAATACAATCGATGAGCTACAAAATTCGAGAAATGAACTAAATGGATTTAAACTATAGTTATTTGAATAAAAAATCGCAAATAACAGATGAAATTAATGATTTTCTAACATATGAATGACCTATTTACATGAACTACTTATCTTCTAATTGATTCATATAAATAAAGTACTACTGTATTACGTTCTACTTATTATAACGACAATAAACGATCCTTCAATATTTTCAAAAGTACGTTCTTCAATGTGAATACTAAAATTACTTTTGATTATTTCCTAATAATCTGTCTTATCCAACTTTTAATATCAACTGGTTTGTCAAGTATTTTCTACAATCATGTTATGTATCATGTAACAAATTATTTCTTTTTAAACCATATTACCAATTTTAACAATAAATAGTTTAGAAAATATTTAAATAGATCTATTTAAATGATTCATCATTTTCAAATATTAATACATATTTGAAAATAGAATAATAAAGGATAAAAATTATATAATATAATAAGAATATGATTGATACCTGGAAGGTGAAAGATCTTCTTTTGACGCGGCACGACTGTGAAATCGTTTAGGGGTTAGATGTTCTTCGCTATCCTCTTGAGTAGATGGATGATAAGGATAATAACAGGTTTTTTCCTTTCCTCTGACTGTTCTCATTAATACTCTGCCAGAACTATATCTGTGTGAATATAGATTGACCAAATTTAATTATTTTCTGTCGAATTCTTCTTTTTTTTTTTTTTTGATATAAAAGTTTCTCAAATAATAGAAACATAGTTTTACAGAATTAGATCCTTATAATCCTTTTTATCCTCGATATTAATAGAATAATAGAACTCGGAGTAACTTTTACAAAGATTGAAGGATTGTTGTAATTTTTCTAATATTGCATTCAAGTCTACTTTTTTTTCAATTTAAATTTTCATGATGTTTTATTATTTTACAAAATTATTTCCAAATACGTGATACATTATTATGATTTTAAAAAAAAAATTTCTGGTGAACGATTATGTTCTTACAATATGAATAATTTGGTTGTGATGAATCTCATTCTCCAATATGTCCAAACAAACAGAATTCTATTTTTAAAATATTACTACAATGAATTAAAATAAAAAAATGAAAAAATATAATTTCTATTTCTAAGATCTTTTAAGATATTGCTATAGTTAATATCATTAACTATAATTAATCTAATGTTTATGACAACGATCTATCTTTTTTTCTACTTTAAATTGATAAAATAACGATTACAAATATTCACCTATTTGTTTCGAATTTATATTGAGGCCTTCGCATGACCAACAAGCGAGGAAGGATATGGATGAAAACCCTCTTCACCCAAGGAGCCATTTTGTGAGTTTGTGGCGATCGGAAGTGGACATTAAGTACAACCACTGTCACGCATATACTGTAAAAAGATGAACAAAGAAATAGAAGATAAGTGCTTTTTATAATGCCATAAAAATAAAATTGTTTCGTATCTCTACTTAAAGTTAGAAATTTTTGACAATGCTCAAAGTAATTGTCGTTCGTTCAATTATCCTTATTTTATTTCTTTGCATTGCTTTGGAAATGTATAATGTTAACAAGCGTTCCGAGCTTTTCATTATTCATTTTAATAAGCGCGCAGCCAAGTAATTGCAATTTTTGATTGGCGAACACTGTTTCATATTTAAGCGTTTTATTAAATAACGATGCAGCGTTTCCAGGAAGTTTTTGCAATGTTTATCCACTTTAGAAAGATTTTTTGATTCAATATCGTTCCACGTCTCTTATTTCGATCAATTCATATATTTTTCTTTTAAATTTAATCTTTTCAATAATCTTCCTTCGATATTTGAAGAAATTCTTTGAAATAATTTCAGCATAAAATCAAACAAATTTTTAATTTCGCCTATGAGAATGGTTCCAGTCTTTCGGCCCGTGTCGTAAAAATATCGAATCCCCCTCGATCTTTCTTTCTCCTGACACGTTTCGTCGGGAAACGAGAGGAATAATCTTTGGAATAAGGCAAATTGCCATAACATATAACTAAGGATGGTTGCGGCGGAGCGACAGAATGTAAATCTCACGAGGCCATTCATAATGGAGATCCATTCAAGGATGGCTGGGCTTAGCAGCAGATACTAAGGGACAAACTACGATTTAAATCGAACCTTTGAGGCTTGGCTTCGAACCATTTATCGGCATCGAACTCGTCTTCGAATACGCCTTCTTTCCTGTTTCTTCCTCTTTGTCTTCCTTTTCGAAATTGTATCAGCCGGAAGTGAATTAAACGTCCAATGTTTCTCTCACGCACGCGATTTTATATCTCTTAACAGAAATGCTTGAGCTTCAGCATCCTTTTAAATCCATAAAATAAAATCTGTTTCACTTTCGAATCGAATCATACATTTTATCCTCCACCATGTAAATTTCTATTTGTTGTTTCTATAGTTTTGTCTATTCAAATGATTTTGCTTCGACCATTTTTATTTTATTTGTAATTTTAATTTTTAAGGTGCAAAACGTATCTTCGTAGTGAATGACAAAACTTCAATATCCTTCTTATTATCTCTTCAATTCAAAAAGGGAAACAGAACCAAAACTACGATCGTGACACCCAATTCACACACAAATATACAAAGGATATGAATGGCATAGTTTATATAAACTCAACAATTATATTTTTATTTTGTACGACATTTTTAGTAGAGGAAATTTTATTATTAATATTTGTCTGAAATTTATGCGCAACGCGGATTATTAAAGGTAGAAAATGATGAGATTTTCGAATGGTAATAAAAATAATATGTTAATTAAAACTTTTTCTAATTAGATTTTGTATTCTCGAGATCTTGCTTATTATTTGTCTTGCGAATTGGACCGTGAGTGATGATTCTATGTGCGTGTAAAACTAAATCGAAATAAAGGAAGAATTAAAATATTATATACGAAAAAAATGTCATTCCTATTTTTTCCATGTAGAATTTGTCTGCTCTGCGTAATTATATTGTAATTGTATTTGATATTAAAATTTTACACCGATATTCTTTTGAATTATTAAAAAATCAGAAGCTCGATGATTTATGCAATACTCAAAATTAAAATAAATGAATGATCGATAATTAATACATTTCAATTAATCTTATTACCTCGATAAACACTTTCACTGCCAACACTTAGAAACTTTTATCAACGAATTGCATTTCCGTTCTCTCGAAAGAGTTCTGTTTCGTTTTTACCTTCACTAATCTCCACGTCACCTTTATTCATTTCGGGTCCAGTATCATTAAGACGAAATAATAATTCAGAGGAATAGGTCAGCTGTTTTAATACTTAAGAGAAGTGCTCGACAAGAAGAGCGTAGGGCGGTCGATCTTTAATAGAGGCACAATGCCTTTGCCTTTCTTGGAAAAAGCAATAACGGTGTGGCTTAATGCACGAGGGAGCCGGCCATCCCCTTGAAATTCAACGAAGAAAAGGGGTCGGTTTCTTGGTTGGCCTCCGCCTTGGGTGGAGGCAAGTCTCGGTCGATGCTGCTACTGATTAATGTGTCACACCTACTGCATCTTCCCGCCTTCGAATGTATTGAAAGGGTTAATATATCGTCGCGGATATATTAAGGAAAAAAAAAAAAAAAGAAAAAATATCGTGGAAAATTATACTTGAAGCTTTCTTGAATTTGTTCCAATTAGTTTGTCAATAAATGTTAAAATTAAATTTTTTTAAGAACGGAAGAGAACACTTTTGACTTCAAAATGTAAAATGTATAATCAAATTCGATATTATTACTATTATTATTATTATTATTATAGCAGTGCTAATATCGATCGTTTGTTGCTCACCGAAATTGCATGTCACTCGTTTAATGCCATTTCAATGCAAATTACAATTTAAAATAAAACGAGAGGAATAATACGAAAAATTGCATGTAATATAACAATACTTTCTTTTTTATACGAAATAAAAAGTTTGCAAGATTGCAATTATCAAACGACCAACAGATTATCAAATATCTATATATCGTTCTTTTTATTCGTTTATCGAAGAAAAGGACGCGAATTTATATTACTTCAAAGGCAGCAAAAACCTCTCCATCCAACGTATACTTGCATAATACTTAATTATTCATCAATACAATCACTCTGTTCTTCCCAGCTTTTCCTTCTTTATCTCCTCTCTCTTTCTCTCTCCACTATTTCCTATCGGTCGTCCCCTCTCTCTTTTTACTCATTACCTCTTCCACGCTTTTTGCAAAGCTTCGCCACTGAAGAGTTCTTTCTTGATGACTGATGGGCAACGATGATGAAGCGACTTGGAAATTTGTAGGACGCCTCTTCCCCGTGACGTGGAAAATTCCCTGGGCAAGGAGGGTAAAAAGCATTGCGCGATCGAAAATGCTGAATCGAGTGTCCAGATCCATCGATCGCTTTATCACGGGTCACGCCCACCTAGACGATTTATGCATAACAAGCGAGCCTCGATTCTGCATTCATGCGTCGATTCCTTTATCGTAAATTCGGCTTTATGTTTTTTTTTTTCCCTCCCTCCTCCTCGAATCACGCTAATAATAAATTTACGAATTAAATCGGGACAGAAATCTCATTGTTTTCTCGTGTGTTTGTACGTCTGTTTTGTAAATTTTTAATAAATCGATTCGATAGAATTTAATTCACGCGATTTTCCTTTGATTTTTGATTTTGGTTTCGCGAAGAAGTTAAATGGATGTTAATATGGAATTTTAAAAAAAAAATGGATTTGATTCATATAACTAATGGATTTTAATTTTTTATTGTATTTAATTTGTGAATTAAATGGATTTGGATTTAAAAAATCTCCATATACTTTACTTTGTAAATTATATTTATTTTTTCTAGTTTAAATATATATATATATCTCTTTCATTTATTTTAATTACTACTTTGTTAAAACAAATAATCGATAAATAATGTATAATTTTACAATATTTTTATAACTGAACAACAAAATTATTTTTGGCAATTGATATGTTTAATGAATCATCAGTTTTCTCCCTATAGGAGTATTTCAATTTTTTTAAAGAGTTCTCAAGATTTAAAAAGGTTTCTTCTGTTTCAAAGGAATATAGAACGTGAAGTGAGTTCGTTCAAAAGAAAGGACTGTTAAGTTTCGAACAGGTATGCACAGGCTGCTTTCTTTTTAAAGAAAAAAATAACTTTTAAATATCTATTACAGTTTCTATCAACTATTATTATTGAAAAAAAATATATGTATAAATATTTATTACGTATTATTTGTTTGTAAAAAAAAAAAGAAATCATCAATTAATTTTTCAGTTTATATAATAAAAGATCGTAACTATATCACGAATTGCATGCTACGAAAAAGAAAAAGTTATTAGCAAGCGTGCTACTACTAGCTACCCATTGAAAATTTCATTTACGATGTAATTACAAAGTGATTGAAAGAAGTTGGAAGAACAAATAAAAAGAGAGAGAGATCTAATATCTTTGGATCGTTGATTTTAATGAAATTTTTAGAACATGTAGCAGGCTTCTTTCTCTTTTAAAATTACTTTTATATATAATGGGAAATACTTGTAAGTTTTCGAGTTATTTAAGTACTTTCCAACTTCTCTACGTGACTTTAATATAAATCGTGCAAGATTACCACTACGTTGCACATCGTCCCATTTCAATTCTTACGAAATGAAAGATATTGATTAGATAATTGATCTATAATTGTTTCGTTTGTTATATTGCATAGATTGTTTAATTAATTAATATCAGAATAAGTTTTATCATATTTCTTTCTACAAAACTTTTGAGATAAATATATACACGCTTTACATATTTTAAAAATTGGACCAAGTGAATTTGAATTTTTTTAGTTTATCATACGATGTGGAAAAAGCGTTTGCAATCGATCGAAATCACGAGGAAAATGACAAAAAGATTTTTATCATTTAAACTTTTATCGAAAAATTACAGTTTCTTAAATTTTTTTTTTAATAAATCTAAACACCTTTACATTTCTTCGTATTGAGATCGACACGATAAACCAAACTTTCTAAATTTTTTCAAAAACCTTCGAATCGTTTGATTTAATTCTAAACTAAATACGAACTTATAACCTTTTTTCCACTACATTATTCTCTTCCTCCATTATCGAAATTTCATTTTCAAACTCGCGCGTTGCTCGAAAAAACCCAATTCACGAGAAGCTCGGCCAAAGAGGGAACTTATGGCGATAACAGGGATTGGCAGCCAGCAAATCCGCGAGATGTTTCTCGACAAAGTTTTAACGGATAAGCAGACTTTCGTTTTCTTTTTCCATCCTCCTCCTCCATCTTGGGCGAAGAAAATGGAGGAGGAGCAACGATTACAGCGCCCCCTCCGCTTTTATCCGAATTGTTTCCCGATACTTGTTACAAAAGGGCTGGCCCCC